GTGGCAGTACGACAGCGCTGTGTCCACACCCCCCGGGGAGGCAGCAGCAGCGGGGCTGCGCCCACGGCTCGAGAGCGCGCAGGCTTGCCCCAGCGCGCAGCCGTCTGCCGCCAAAATGGCCGCTGCGCTGCGCCTGACCTGTGACTGCCTTGCCTTGCCCCGCCCCGCCCCGCCCCTCATCTCCCTCCCTCCCCCGCAGTTCTTCTCTAACCACCACTACGCCCAGGTGGCGGGCGTGTCGCTTGCCGAATTCAACGCCATGGAGCTCGATTTCCTGCACAGGATCGACTACCGCGCGGCCGTGGCCGTGCCCGAGCTGTGCGCCGCGCTGCGCGCAATGCTGGCGCTGGCGGGCGGCCGCGCCGGGCCCTCGGCCCTCCTGCCGCCCGCCCCGCTGGCCGCCTGCGAGGCGGCCGCGGCGGCGGCAGGGGGCGAGGAGGAGGAGTCTGTCGACACCTCGGCGCCCATCGCCGCGGCGCTGGATGCGGCTGCCGCCGCCGCTGCCGACGAGGCGGAGCAGCTGCGGGCGTGCGCAGCCAGCGCCGCGCCGGCACAGCCCGCGCTGCTGCCGTGGGCCGGCACCGGCGCCAGCACCGACGTCGTGGCCGCCGAGGCGGCCGCCGAGGAGGCCGCGCAGCGCGCGGAGCCGCCGCGGCGCAGCAAGAAGCGGTGCAGCGCTGAGGCGGCGCACCCGCACCTGGCGCACGAGGAGCGCCAGCACCTGCCGGACGCCGTCTGCCAGGCCTGAGGCGGGCAGCGGCCTGCTCCGCTGGGCACCAGCCGCGGCTCGTGAGGCCCCTACCGCCGCCCCTGCCCGACGCCAAACCACACACGACTCTCCACAAATACCCCCCCCCCATTTTGACCCTGCGATGCCTTTGGTTGACGTTTCAAGACCGCCGTGGCCCCCCCACCATCCACACATCCACCCACCTGAGCGCACCCCACCACCCGATACTCACCAACGTCACCCAACACAACTGCTCTGCAACACAACTGCTCTGCCCCGTCTTTGTCAAGTGCCTAAGTTTTCCCCCTTTTGACCGCTCTTTTTCATTTCCCATGTCCCACCCCGTGCCCGACCCTTCTGTGTCTACCTGCAGGTAGGCCTCCCGGTAAGGATGTGCCCCATGATGGGCATGCGCTCTGCCGCACGATGCCCCTTTCTTTCTGTCCTTTCTTCCTTTTCGTTCCCGCCACACCGCCATTGATTTATGCTTTGCCCAATAACAATGCTATTGATAATCGCGTGTCTAGCGTGCCGGTTTTCCAGTGTGCGCCTCCCGGTCCCTGTCACGGGCGCCACCTCAATTCAAGTGCAATTTTCATTCTAGCATTCCCTCTCGAGTCGCCCCTTGCTTCTTTACACTGTGAAGTGATGATCTACCCGTCCCTCTCGTGTGCTTGCCCTGCCCCAAGTCCCACCACCCCCCATTTCATGGCCCACACTTCGCTGCCTCACGGCGCCACAACGACATACACCACGAACAGATGCAGACACCTCCCCGCCGACTTCCGCCGTGTCGCACTGGAGTGCGTGCCCCATGTGCCCGTGCCCAACGATGTAATGATACAAAAGCACCAAACAGCAACAGAATGGCAGGGATGCTGGATCAGTGGGTATCGTTCTAGCAATGGGATGGATGGATGGTGCAGCAAGAATGGTGGGGCTGATAAAGCCCTTCTCTGGCAATACATAATGGCGGGAGAGGGATGCGAGATGCTTGTGGCAGCCTGCTGCCAGGTCAGCTGGCCGTCTGCAGCTGCTCCGCCGCCAGGCTCGGTCCAGCGTGT